CCTCTTGTCCGTGGGGTGGTGGTGGGGGGTTGGGGGGGCCCTGAGCCCCTTTTCAGGAGGGACCTCAGACCCCCCCTCTGTAGGAGAAGGAATAAATAGCAGCACCACGTTGCTGCAGGAGGTGAGCAGACTTAATGAGGCAGATCAGAGTGATACAGTTCTGGAGTTATTGCACAGGGTTGTTTCTAGGGCAGCGATTTATCTGCAGGGCAGGCAGAAGATACGGGGATTGTTACGGGTTTAGGGGAACAGCATCGAGAGCTGTACGGGGCTGGGTGAAGACACGTTTATGTGCATTTGTCATGGTTTAACCCCAGCCAGCAACTAAACACCACACAGCCGCTTGCTCACTCCCCCACAGTGGGATAGGGAAGAGAATCGTGAGGGTAAAAGCGAGAGAACTCATGGGTTGAGATAAAGACAGTTTAATAATTGAAATAAGATAAAAGAAAATAGTAGTAATAATAATAATAATAGAATATACAAAGCAAGTGATGCGTGATGCAGTTGCTCACCACCCACCGACCAATGCCCAGCCAGTCCCCGAGCAGTGATTGCTGCTCCTCAACCCCTTTTCCCAGTTTATATACCGAGCATGATGTCATATGGTATGGAATATCCCTTTGGCCAGCCTGGGTCAGCTGTCCTGGCTGTGCTCCCTTCCAGCTTCTCGTGCACCTGGCAGAGCACGGGAAGCTGAAAAGTCCTTGACTAGGGGAAACATACTTAACACTACTTAGCAACAACTAAAACATCAGTCTGTTATCATTATTATTCTCACACTAAATCCAAAACACAGCGCTATCCCAGCTACTACGAAGAAAATTAACTCTTATCTCAGCTGAAACCAGGACACCATTATAGTCTGGTGCTTCCAGGGCAAATCTCCTCCAGCAGACATCTAATTCCTCGCTGCTTCGGGCTCTAGGTGCCCCCACCCCGTGACGTTTGCAGGGATGCTGGAGATGGGGGTGTCCTATCTACCGGTCAACGGGAACTGGAAGAGGTACCTGGATGATGCTCATGGTATCTACGAGGAGCTGCAGAAAGAGATGAAGAAGTCCCTGATGAACCTGGCCAATGATGCCTGCCAGCTGCTTCACGAGGACAGGTACCCGTGGGCTGGGGCTGCAGGTCCTGCTGCTCGCAGGACAGAGACCAGACACCGGGTGGTCCATGGGGGGCTGCGGGCGGGTGCTGGGGACGGGAGCAAAGCTGCGGTGTGACAGGTGTGTCGGCAGGTACAAGGATGACCCCTGGCTCTGGGATCTTGAGTGGGACACGCAGGAGTTTAAGCAGAAGAAAAATCCGGGGAAGAAGAAGAAGGATCAGGACGGGAACAGCAAAGCCCCTGCGGAGGTGGTGGGCTCAGATGGGTCCGTGCAGGAGTGGCAGGAAGGTGAGCGTGGGTGGTCCCTGGGGACGAGGGATGCTCGAGGGACGCCTTCCCGTGGGCGCCCAGACAAAGGGACACAGTTCGTTGGCGC